AAAGTGCAACCTGAAATGAGAATCCAACAACTTACTGTATTTCCAAAGCCAATTTGCAGTTGCATTTTACCTTCAATTAACATACCCAGTTAGATATTTTACCTTTCATTTCACATCAACCTATATATTTCATAATCCTTAGTGATGAATGGGCAATATTCATCTGCAATTATGATCAGATTCGCATATAAAGCTTGGATACGGTAAGCTGAAAACAAAATTCTATTTCTAGGTCAGTCAGAAGTCTTATTTTAGATGTAACTACAGAATTGTTTGGGTTGGAAGGGACTTCTAAAGATAACCTGGTTCCAACCCTTGCCCTATGGGCAGGGACACCTTTCTTTAGATTAGGCTGCTCAAAGCCCTGTCCAACCTGACCTTCAATACTTCCAGGGATGGGACATCCACAACCTTTCTGAGCAACCTCTTCCAGCATCTTATCACCCCCACAGAAAAAAAGTTTCTTCTTATATCCAGTGTAAATCTACCCACTATCCGTTTAAAATTGTTGACCCTCATGTTGTCACAACAGTCCAGGGTAAAAAGTCTGTCAAAAGAGAGAGATACTCAGATGGTCTCTCAGAATATCCCCAAATCCTTTTCCACAGGGCTGCTCTCAATCCATTCAACACCTAGTCTGTGCTGATACTGGTGATTGTCTCAACTCAAGCTCAGGATCTTGCAGCTGGATCTAAAGAATGGTAGAAACAGTCCACGAAGATTTAGCCAGTCATGACATTTCCCCTTACTTTGAACTACCTCCAGACAACTTACAGTATTCTAAAGGTGTCACCCTGCAAATGTTCAAATTCTGCTTTTTCTATGCCTGAGCTTCATTAGCCAACAACTATGCTTCTCAGATACAAAGTTGGTCTAGCATTTTATTACTCAGTTTCTAAGAGCGTAGTTAATGTGGTTTCAGTAAAGGTGATTTTCAACAATTATCTTGATAGACAAGAACTTCTGAAATAAAGGTACTTTGTGTTATATTATTTACTGGGTTTATTTATTTACCAAATATCTAAACACAAGGTCTTTGGAAGTGCTAACAAGTTAAGCAGAGTGACAAAAGGTCTAGTGACAGAACTCCAAATGTCAGAGGATGAGATCTTCTAGTTTTTCCTATGCAAGACAGAACAATGTAAAATCATTTAGCTGAACATGAAACAGACAACAGACTGAGGAAAAACAGATGAATCAAGCTCTGTAGTTGTGTATTTTTGGTGCAACAAAAATGGAAGCCTCTTAGGACTAGATGAAACAAGTTTGTCATATGCAGCGTTTATTGTTGCTAGTTAATTTGAACCCAAATTGCTGAACAACTGAAACATTTGACACAATTGAAGATTAGGACCATGGACAGTCTGAAGTTTTAAAAATCAATTACTCAGGTAATTGACTAAATACTTTAATAACTGAGGTACTGAAGTGTCTACATGAAATATTAAAAGACTCTGCGAGTTATTATCAGAGCAGAAAGAGCACCAAAAAGCATTTGCACAAAGATGTGCTAGATGCTTACTAGTAATCAAAAGCATAGGCAGCTTCATACCTTCCTCCCCACTCAAAAACTGGAAGCCCATAAACCCCAGGAAAGTGTAAGAAACACTGAGGAATAACAAAAAACAAATAAATTAGTTTTTATTCCAAAAATCACTGCTCACTGAGTACTACTTTCCACTGCTTAATTTAATTAATGAGACACTAAGCTCTAGTTACTTACACTGCCTCTGCCTCTAGTTAGCACATCTATGATACCCACCAGTATCTGATCACTGCACACCCTGGAGTGTGACTACCTAATGCAGCCTTCCTCATCTTTAGATCTTTTTAGGACTGTAGGACTCTTAGTACCTGATATTTTGAGAAACAGTACTGCATTATGCTGTGGCACGAGCTTTACACAGAAATTTGGCTTTTTCGCGGCTCCTCAAAATAGACAGCCCATCCATTATTCCCTAGCCAAGTACTAAATCAAGTGCATGGAAGCCACAGAGAAGCAAATTTAGTTACAGACAGTTGCAACTCAGTCCATTTTCTTATTCTGATTTTATTACAGTTGCACGTACCTCAGCTTTATGTATTTCCTTCCTGCAGCATGTAAATTGAAGTTATATAGCCCTCAATGTGTCTTTTCCACCTGCTGTTGTTAGCACTCTTCTCCCACACCTTCCTTCAATCAGTAACACACCTTTCTTCGTATCAGCTCCCCCCATCTTCTTTTCTTAGTGCTCTTATCCTACTTCACATATAAATTCAGAATTTCTTTTGCATACAGAACCAAGCTTATGACCTTTACAAACACAAAAATGGTTACAGAACTGATTTTAAGTTTACTGCACACCTGCCTTGCAGTCTACAGAACTACAAACTGATGGGGAAGAAGAGTAAGAATAGAAGCAAAATGAAGTAAAGCTAAAGAGGATAAAACCATTCTAAGAGAAGCCAACAGTATCACTATGACTCTTTCTCACATAGCCAAAAAAAAGGTTTATTCATCTAAAGGAACTCCCACATTTTAAACCTACATGTGCAGAGTATCAGATGCTGAATTAAGTATCTGTGTATCCATTATTCATATACTACCTCTCAGATACACCTAGACAGCAAATACCTTTGCTCAATAAAAGTGAAAGCAATTATAAATAACATAAATTCACAACTTTAATCCTAGAAAAAAAGGTTTTAGATTTTAAAAGATTTGTAAAAGAGGGGGAAGGGAATTGTATGTAGTCTGATTTTACTTTCTGTTTAAGTGTACCAGACGCAGAGCCTGACAAGTCTCCCTCTTTAACCGGGGGCTGCATGGAAGGGAATGAAGTGTTCATCTCTAAGATATTTTAAGTACAGATCAATTACACCTAAGAATTTCTTCCTTAAAAACATACCCATATAGACTACAATGGATTTAACACATAAATAGTACCTTGGAACGAGAATGATTGCTTGTAGTGGGAATAAGCACACTAAGAACTGGTGTAAGATACTTAAAACTCTTTTTGAAGGGTTAAGATGCTTAAATTCTATAGAGAAGAGTTCAAGAACCAACTGAGGAAGAGAAGAAAGTCCAGTCACTATAGAGATTGCTATAGTAACCAAACATATAAAGTTAACCTACCAGCTGATATCTTCAGAAGAAGCCCTTTCTTTTATAATTGGTATTAGTTTAAAAGAATAGTATCTATAACTAGGGCTAGTTAAACAAAACAAAAAATAAAATTGATTACTATAAGAAGCTGTCTTTAAAAGAATATAGAAAAGTATGCCCAAAAAAATACAATTTAAAAAAAAATTCACTTTAAAGGACATTCTTATGATCTGAGACACAAACACGTTCAAAAGCATTACAAAAGCATGAGAGGGGCATCCCATCAAGTTCACTCCCAAACTGAATACACCTTAGCTCCAAATCACAATTAAGATAACTGAAAAGGGACAAACCCTTTGGCTGATTAAAAGGTGAAGGAATACACTTAAAGGTACTACCAACTGCATGTTTGATAGATGCAATTTCCTTACAATCACTGTAGGAAAGTCCCCATAGCATGGCCAGCATTAAAGCACATACTAGCAAATTGAGTTATGGTTAACGTAAAACTCTGGACTCTTAATTGCATCTATACTTGTGACACCTATCAATAGAATCTGGATGCAAACATGTTCAATTTCACAGTAGTCTTGAGCTATCAAAATTGACGCAGTATATTCTAAGCATCAGAGCTCTTCTCATTTGGTGGTTCTAAGATGATAGATCTGTTAAATAGATCAAAAGCAGCAAGTCAACTGGTAGATGTAGTGCTATTTTGCCTTGTGGCAGCAACATCCACAAAAGCTCTGCTTTTATCCAGGGATGTAAGTTTGACACTTCAGAAGCTCTCACATCAGTAACAAGCTAAACAGAGTATACAATATAATTAACTTGTACAGATTCTTCCATTAGATTCTTTTCACCTCTCCATCGCGTTATGCACAAGCAGCTTTCTGCCATGCAGCAGAAGATGAAGAATGACTACCAAGAACTGTTTTCAACCCCACAGCTCCCTTCCCCTCCAACCCCAAATATCAGAGTACATACTAGGAACAAATTCAATTAACTTGTTCCCCTCTCCGACAACAGAAAGCCAGGAAAAAAATACACTAAACTTGCTGCAAAGCATAAATTCAGTGCTATTTAAGGGTATCTCTAAGCATACTTAAGTAGCTAGCTACATGCCAAATTGGTTGTATGGCATATGCATCGTGGAGCTACTAAAATACCATCCACTTTTGTCAAGCAACTACCAAATAATGTTGGGTTTATGTCAGGAAGTGTTACGGTTTGCTTTCTAATGCAATTTTAACACTGACAGCACAGCAGAGATCCGCTGAACCACCAGGTATGATCAAGCAGGGAGACAATAAGCAAGCAGCCCTCTATCCCAGGCTAGCACACCAACTAGTCTGAAATGCATTTAAACCCTTATCATTACTACCTGCCCACCTGTAAGGGCATATTAATCTTAGAGCTGTGTTTTACACGTCATTAGTTAGCGCTTGCAAACGTCTGTCCTAAATCGGCTGCGGTTAGACCTGCAGTGCTTAAGGCCCACATAAGACGACCTCACTCTTAAAGGGCAAAAAAATGTAGAAGCTGTTGAAGATGGACTTGGTATATCAAAGGTATTTACAATCTTCCTCTAGCACACTGGACTGGCACTCACGAACTTATGACTCCGCACAAAGTGTCCACCGCCCCTTATGACAGCTGGTGAAGAAAAGAAAGCTGCATGAAGCGAGAGAGATGACAAGTCTGAGGCAGGACTGGGCGGGCGCCTCCTTGGCATGAAAGCCGCCCTCCCTGCACAGAGACATTCACGCACCCTCAGCTCAAAGCTGAGTAAACAAAACACTAGCGAGGAGTTAACCAGAGCGGTGACTCAGCCGGGAGTGCGAGATTCGGTCCCACAGGGTAAGAAATTCGGGGAGACGGGACCGGGGGCCCACTGGCGCTCCCTACTCACCAGCAAACAGTCCACGTTCACTTCGGATTTGGGGTCCTTTAAAGTCACGTCGATTTTTTCAAACCGAGACTCAAAACTTTCTCCCGTCGACATGTTTCCGGAGATTAAAAGTTTCCCTTATTCCAGAGCAAAGGAAGGTTAAAAAAAAAGAAAAAAAAAAAAAAAAAAAAAGCAAAACAGGAACAAGCACGCACGAAAAAAAAAAGAAACCACAGAGGCTGCGGCAGGCTGAGGAGCGCTTCCTGCAAAATCCCTTCAATCACAGAAGTCTCTGAGGCGAGTCCCCCACGCTGCCCCGCCAAGGGGAGAGAAACCCGCAGGAAAAGCCCGCGGCGGGGGGGACAAGGCTGCTTCTCCCCCTTCCTCCGCGCACGCACACGCTTTCCTGGGCCGCTCACAGCCCCGCAGCAGCAGCAGCAGCAGGTTTCCTCTCCCTCCCTCCTCTACTCGGGCCCCAGCGTCTCAGCAACCTCATTTTCCCAGCCGGGGAAGCCGCCCTGGGAGCCAGCGTAGCGGGTCCT